ACCCCAAAACCACCCCAAAATTTCCTTGCAGACTAAAACACACACACAACCCCCAAGACACAAAATAATGTCAAGAAAAATTACCCTCAAAAAATTCACAGGAAAACACAGAAAAACTTCAGAAAAGTGACAAGAAAAATACCAGAATACAAGATAACCCCTAAAAATGGCAAAAAACCCCAAACAAACTAGAAAAAACTTACAAGAAACAGTCAAAATCAGGAAAAAAAAATCACAAAAAACCCCCAAACTCAACAAACCCAAATTTCCCCTCTTTCTATTTGTATTCATTGATCTTTGAACAACTACAGTTCCTGACAATACAGAGGTAATATTAATACAGTTTAAGTTACTATTACTATAGTTAATTATTAATATAGTCTTTGTATTAATAATTAATACAAAGTTGTTGTTATTATTATTTTTAGTATGAACTTTCCAGCTGTAATGTCCCAAATTGTGGTTTTTCCTCAAATAGTGACACTGATTTAAATCCTAGTGCTCACTGCTCTGGATATTATATATATATATAGTTAAAAAAAAATATATATACATACACTCTTAATTCTTTCCAGAGAGCAGCCATGTTGGGACAAACATACCCACCTTATAGAAAGCTTTAAATAACATTAATTAATTATAATATAATAATAATAATAATAATAATTTACTGCTCAGGCAGCCACTACAGCTGGGATGTGGAACAAATTCTAAAAATCCAGGAAAAGAGTGTCACAGTGGGTTAATGGGAATACAGATAATTACAACATGTTTAATAAATCCACTTCACCACAAAAATCAAAGGTGTGCCTGACATTCCAAATTAATTATTTCTATTCTTTTTAATCAAATTTTTTAAAAAATCACAGACTAAATTAGTCAAATGGGCATCACTGCAAATGCTACTCATACTCCCAGCACTGCCAACAAAAGAAACTTTATTGATCAGTTCATTTCCTACATTCTCTAAAACATCAAACTAGCAAGTCTCCAAGCTGGCAGACTGAAGATTTTAATTTTTTAAATCTTCCTCATTGTTTCTCCATTTCCTGAAGCATTTTACCCAAAACCAAGAAAAATTTAACTTCAATTCTCCTTTTTCAGGGTTAATGAACACGAGGCTGGTGGAGACCAAATCCTATTTTCAGTCATTACATCAGAGCCAAGGTTGTCCTCAGATTATTATTTCCAGTCTGAAGCCAAAGGGGAATTTTGTAGCAAGGAAAATTAGGATTTCTTTCTTCTACAGCTCATTTTTAGTGGGTCTCACAGCACATGATAAAGGTGATAATTATCATCATACCCCCAGACACTGGAACAACAAGAGGTGCAAGATCCCAACAAGCAAGGGAAGAGTGAGTTATAAGTAAAACCTATGGCTTGGTTTCCTTCAGTTCCAGAGGCCTGATAGGATAAATAGAGGCAGAATTATTTGCATAGCCTTGGAGCTGGTGAGCAGCAGGGCTGTCTGATGCAAAAAAACCCTTTATCATCTAAAAAAACACAAAGATCTGCATGAGGTTTCAGGCAATGCAAACACAGGGTGGTAATGAACATGTAATTTGTTGGCTGCATGGCTGGAGCTAAGGTTGAACTTGATGAATTTCGTTTTATTGTGACTGCTCTAGAATCTCAATTAAGCCCTGTAACCTTGTACTTCTAAAATGAGATGCAGCAGCTTCAAAATCAGAGAATTAAAGCTGTTCCCTCATAGAGCAGGAGAGTGTGCCCTACACTGAGCAAGTGCCACTTGTGCCACCACTTTTCCTCCTTGTGACACCCTCTAGTAACAACTCCACAGCCCAACCTCCTCCAAAATATTCCCTACAGACCCTTGGTGCAGCAGTGTCACACTGGGACAGCCTGCCTAAAAAAGGATGAATTTTGGGCAGGTTCATTAGGTTAATAATCCCCACACACTTTTTGTGCTTTTTGTTTTAACTGCTACATTTAACTGTCCTTAATCCAAGTATTTCCTGTTCAAAAGGTTTAAAGTTCAAAATTTATTTTCAAGAGTAATACCCCAACAAGTTATTAACCTAACCTAAGTAACCTTAGAGGTTTTAGCACAATTAATTGTGCACGTTCAAGCACTCTAATGTGCCTTGTACAGACTGAGAGAGGCAGCATCAGAGTTTCTATTTTTCACCACAGACACAGCATTTTACTGTGATGTTGTGCTTCTGCACCTGAGTGTGGCCTCATCTCACCAAACATAACCCAAGTGAGCAGTCTGACACGTACCTGAGTGAATTTCACACTCTAGAATCCAACATTTTGTTGCCCTCTCCCATGTAACAGGGAGGATCTTGAGGTGTTATAAACTTGTTGGGCACAACAATCTTCCACAAGCAAATTAATTTCATTTTAATCAGGGACAGTTTCATAGCCAAGCTTCTTCAGAAGACTTTTTGAAACTGAGTTTTCACTGTATTTTATTTTTTCTAGAACTTTTAGAACTGGAATTTTTGCAGAACAGCACCACAGAGAGAGCTCCTCCCATGAGCAGGGGCAGGAAGAGCTGAAGCTGCATCACGAGTTTAAGCTGCTCCCTCACAGGAATCCTGGGGAAAGCAGATGCAAAGCAGCTCAAAAACACCCTCAGCCCTTCAGCAAAGATGAAGATGGAAGAGAAAAACATTTGCTTGTGCTCAATCACAAGTTCTATTGCATAACTATTCATTAGAGCAGGAAACTGGGAAGTTAAAGCTCTACAGTTCTGAGGTTCTGCACCAAGCAAATTTGGACTTTGTTATTTCAGCAATGAGGCTTGTTTAATTTACAAATTAAAAACCTACAAAAAGCTAAATAAAGAACTGATAAAGTTCTGGAATTATCTGCCTGAGGAGATGGTGGAGTCCCCATCCCTGGGTGTGTTTAACAAAGCCTGGATGTGGCACTGGGTGCCAGGGTTGAATTGAGATGTTGGGGCTGGGTTGGACTCAATGATCTTCCAACCTTGTGATTCTGTAAAGGAAACGTCAGGAAAAATAAGACCCCATGACTTTACTTTCAATGCTTCAAGGTAAAGCAGAACAAAATTACAAACAAGCCACTTGAATTCTCCTTTGGGGGTAAATAAAACCTGCGCTGTTTATTTGTCAGCAAGTGGAACTCCCCTAAATTTATGAATTATGATAAAGATCAGGAAAGAACCATGTGTTCATATCTGGGCTGGTAAATTTACAGCAGTTTGAAATGGCAGAGTAGAGATGCCAACATTATATGCAAAAGATAAGGACATTTAAAATGTTCTTTATTATATACCTTTTGTCTCAGTTGGCAGTAAGGTGTGACTGGGATAAAACTCATCAAATTGCAAGAGACAACAGTCAAAGGAACAAAAGGATATTCCAGTGCTGAGACAAGGTATTTGTTATTCTGTCAGTAGTGCTCAGCCTCTTTTAGCAGTACAGTTATTTTCTGAAGTGCACTATCATCCATCAAATAAACAAATTTTAAATATGTGAATGCTTTCTCTGCCAGGACTGAAATTTGCAGAAATTTAATTTTAGAGTGACTCCAAAGGCACACCTATACTAATGAGCCAGTGGGACTGTGGGCAAAGGGAGAAGAAATCCAAGCTAAAGTGTCTGGAGAAATCAAGGCTGGCTACAGGGTCATATTTGGAGCCTGTCTCTGTAAATAAGCAAGAAATTAAAGAAATACTTTAAAGCTACAATATTCTTAACCTAACATGCTCCACCATTATAGTTAAACCATTTTTTTTTCTTGATTTGGGAGATAAAATGCTCCAGGAATTACACTCTTTTCCCTGCCTTCCCCTCACTCCCTGAACAAAACCAAAATGCTATAAAACCATGAGAAATGGTTTCATGGAGCTACCCACAAAAGTGTCTTGACAGCAAAACTTTGTCAAATGATGCACAGACCATAAAAATAACTGATTCCTGCAAAAACATCCTCAGCAGGAATCCTGGTATCTACAAAAACAAAAAAATATTTTATATACTGGGTAGTTTATTGTTCTAGTGTGTATAAAATTTGGTGCTACAGCAATTACTCAATAAGACAGACTTAGTGTTGAAACACCCAGTAGTTTAACAGTAAATCTGATGTCAAATATATTGGCAGTTAGAATTTATTAATGTCAAATGTATTGGCAGTTAGAATTTATTAGTGTCAAATGCATTGGCAGATAAGGATTTATACCAATGATGTGTAGCATTTGCAGTGTTTGAAATATATTCCATAAAAGGATTCAAACTCTGATTAATATAAATATAATATATATTATATATATTATTTATGTATCTATATTATTTATATATATTTATAGATATACTATAAATTTACATATTTAATATAAATTTTATATTATATATATTTTAGATATTATATATTTTTATATATAGCATATATAAAAGGTTTCAAACTTTAATATAAATATATAATATATATGATATATTATATCTTATATATATAATATATATTACAATATATTATAGTATATATAGTATATATAATTATATATATTATATATGTATTATATATTATAATAATATAGTATATAGTATATACATAATTATATATATACACTATAATTATATATATCTTATATACTATAATATACTATCATATATATTATAATAGTATATTATAGTATATAATATACTATAATTATAGTATAGTATAATATACTATAATTATAGTATAGTATAATATATTATAGTATAATGTAGTAGTATGGTATAATATATTATAGTACAATATAGCATAGTATAATATAGTATAGTATAATATAGTATAATATAATATATCACATTACATTATATTTATAATGTATATAATATAGATATATATGATACATATATAATAGTATATATATATATTAAGAAAAAAATTTAATTAATTTTAATTAATTTAATTTTAATTAAATTAAAATAATTTAATTAGTTTTAATTTTTCAATAAAGCAGAATAAAAAGTACTGAAAATAAAAGCCCCCAAACAAAGCAGCAGCTGCTCAGGCAGGGGTACCTTTAAGCTCTTGTAGTAAATGGTCCTGTTGATCTCCAGGGGGAAGAGGTTCTGCTCCTTCCCCGAGCGTGCCCAGTTGATGTAGCGCAGCCAGTTGCCCTTCTCTGGGTCGGTGGCATCCACACACATCCAGCCCAGGTTGGGGTAATACACCTGTGGGAAGGCACAGGGACACCTGCTCACACCACAGCACTGAAATGTGGGATCTCTGAATCCTTCCCCCTCAGGGGTAGGGAAGGCATTTTGTGCTGTTCTTGAAGATAAGGAAAGCCTCGTGTCTCTCTCAAGGAGGACACCAAGGCTGTCCCTGTGACAATGTGAGGACACCAAGGCTGTCCCCATGACAATGTGATGGAAGAGAGAAAATGAAAAGATACAGACTCTAGCTGGCCCACAGAATGATCTGAATCCTTGTTCACCTTTGCTTCTTCCTTACAACCAACGGGCAGTGAATGTGTCTGTTAAGTGAGTGTATATATAAAGGCATCTCTCAGGATCTCTAGTTGGTCACAGTGGCCCCCAGATGTGTCACAAAGTCTCTTTTCCCAGTCTGGCAGTCGAAGAAGGAGTCAGAGCTCTTCATTTCTCGGTTTCAAAGTTGTTTATTGTATCTTATTTATAAAATTCTTTCTCCTGCCCAGCCGAGGTCCATCCAGCAGGACAGTCAGAGGCACTCTGCCTGCCCCTGGGCAGTGTTATATTTTTATACTAAAAATTACATATGCAATATTTACAATTACTTTCCAATACTGTGGGAGAGCTAAACAGATATGAAAAATATGTCTAAATGTAGTTACTGATTACTTTTATATATATATTTTTATATATATGTATGTATAACTGTACTGTGTTTTTATATTATTATGGGTTTTCCATAAACCAAAATACTTTTTTGCTTTTCTAATTTACAGAATATTACAGTCTCACTTACAGAACATTGTTTAAAGGCCTTGTGCACTGTGAGAAGGAAAATAGCTCCAACTCCTCTCCATAACACTGCCTTGAAGTGATTCCTGTACTACAATAAAACCCACTCAGCACAGCTGTGCCAGTCATTCTGAACAGCATTTCCCTCCCTTTTCAGACACTTGTTCTCACTTTCCCAACTGTGGCTCTTCACCAGTAGAAAAGGAAAATATGTTCTCTCCTCAGATACAGAGGAATACTGACACACACAACTTGTATTTTTCACAGTGAGCCTCTGGTATGACAGCTCAAAACCATTAAAATTGACTGGAGATTCCAGTTTTTGAAGCCTTATTTTTATTCAGAATAATTTGACTAAAAAGCAAATGGAACTCTTGTGGAAGAGGTTGTTCCTCAAGCTGAGTGTCTGAGCTGCTCCTACACATCACCATCCTTCTACAAACCATATTTTCTAACAGTTGAGGTTCTGGACTGGTTTCAGGTATCAGCACATGAGACCAACTGTTGCAGTCTCATTTTAGCTGCTTTTTTTCTAACTCTAAAATCACTATTAAAACAACACAAAATTAATCTGGAATGTAACAAGAGTTCCTTCCCATTATCACCTGCATTGTAAACAGAACTGAAAAAATATCCACCATGAACATTCAGCATCCAGCACTGAGAAACACAATTTTAAGGTCAATAATTTACTCGACTGATTCCATCTCAGCAAATGTTCCTGTAACAGATCAAAACTGGAGATACCTTCTGCAGTGGAGTTTGTGATAGCATGAGCTCAGTACAACAAACATTATAATTGAAAATTGTACTGCCTTTCTAAAGGGTAATTTGCATTTATGGCAATGTCCTAGATCAATTCCTCTGATAGAGGTTAACTCCAAGCTCTGTGCATGTTTTTAGTGTTTTAGGGAGTTTCATTTCTGCAAGGGGACAGAAGGATGGATGACCATTATCAGGGTCTTCAGCCTAAAAATCCATGTTCCAGAACATTCTATTCCTCAACCCCTCCCCTCCTTGACTATTCACTTTGCTAAAACCAAGTCCTGTGTTTGTCTTCAGAAAGACTGAAGAAATCTTTGGAAGTGGTTATGAACTGCCTTAAAGAGACTGGAAATGGGATTCAGCTCCAGATAATGGCATTTATATTTTGAAATATAAATTCATTTACATATATTTGACAGTGGAGCTTCCAGAGCTGTTCAGCTGCCCAGACAGCACTTGCTTCAAGGCAAGCTCAGCACAAGAAACACTGCAACACTTGAGAACTCTTACAAAAACTCCAAAGTCTGGTCTTCAAAGAGCTAAATGAGGAGTGATGTGGTAGAGATTCCTCATTCCCTTAGAGATTCCACATCCTCCTAATTCCCTGATTTCATGAGCAGTTGACAGCACTCAGTTGCACTCAGGGTTGAAGCCAACAAAGAAAAAATCAGCAACAAATTTTTAAGGGCAACTGTGATCCACACACAGCTTGTAAGAAATACAACAATTTCAAACAATGCCAATGGTTTATAAAGCTTTGTAATTCAGAACAATTGTTCCATCCAAATGTCTATAAATAACCATTAGTAATGGCAGTAACAGATGGCAATTACCTTATATCAACTTTATTTCTAAAATATCTGGAAAATTAAAAGCTAAATAAAAAATATTGACCTGGTAACAAACACATTTTTCCATTTTACAAGCTGTTTCTTACCTCCCACATGTACACATTGCTCTTAACTTGAGATCTTTTTTTCTTGTCACCAACAAATGGTCCAAACTTCTTGCCTTTCAAAATTGATTTTGTTGCCCAGACACCTGAGGAGACAAGTAAGAGGAGTTAAAACTAATCTAAGCAAATCTACTGAAAATTCATATTTTTAAGATTATTATGTGTGTCTGTCTTGGAGCTGTCCACTCAAATACACCAGCCATCATCTCTACCCAGCACAGGAGGGCACCAGGCTTTCACAGAAACTCAGATTTATGAAAATCTTCATTCTCTTTTCACAGCTGCAGCACTCACCAAGCCGAGTCTTGTCAACAGCAGATGGGAAGAGTCTCACATCCTCAGGCAGGCCCCTGAGCACGTGCTCAGGAACATCATCCAAGGTCTCCACAGCAACAGGGGAGTCACTTGTGTTCTGCAAGTCAAAAAGCCAACCACCATTAACAGGCAGAGCAGCTACACAGCAGGTGATCAACCCACAGCAACTTCAAAATGTTCTGACTTGCAATGAAAGTAAAATTTCCAAACTCACCGTGCTGAGGATAAATGATTGCTAATATACATGAAATTATTTCCCTTTTTTAAAGTATGACTTCCAGGCATACTCAACCTAATCAGTCCCCCAAAACCAATCTAATATATTTTCTCATCTTGCCTTATGTGACACAGTGCCACTTGTGAGAAAGACTGAAAAGTAACTTTAGGAAAAAACCAAACTCAAAGTTCCAAGAAGCACATACAGTAAAAAATCTGAACAGTCACTGGCTCTGCTGATTGAAGTGAGTGTGTTGCAGTAAATGAACCCCTCCAAGAACCTGCACTGGGGATACACCACCCACTGACCACAGCAGCAGGATGTTACAGGGTAAGGCAATGCCCTACCTGCAAAGCTGTCAGTGCTGGATGGAGGGAGTGGAGTCATGCTGCTTTTGGTGTTGAATAATCCTAAAATCAGGCAGAATCATCAATCACAAAGTTCAGCATCCCTTTAAGGGTGAGGAGATGTGGCAGAGCTGACAAAACACCCCATAAAGGAACAGACAAGGGATACTGCACTGCTAACCTGCCTAAAGCTGCCTGGGGACACCTCTCTGACAGCCCAGCACTTTGCTCATCCTAGCAAAGCCCAGCCCCACTTGTGAGCAGGATCTTTAACACACCCCTTCTTGCAGTGTGGTGGAGATTCCTCCCTGGAGTGGGGACACCCCATCTCTGGAGACCACCCAGTGCTACCCCTGCATGGACAGGGACACCTTCCACTGTCCAGCCCTTTTTTCATCCTAGAAAAGCTGAGCCCCACTGCTGAGCAGGGTCTTCTGACACACCCCTTCTTGCAGTGTGGTGGAAATTCCTCCTTGGAAAGGGGACATTGTTGCGGTGTGTTGCAATGTCCTGTTTTACCTTCTCCCTTCCCCCTCGCCCCTC